TCTCTCTCTCTCTCTCTCTCTCTCTCTCTCTCTCTCTCTCTCTCTCTTGTAGTCTGCTGATGCAGTGAAGTCAGATAGCGAGAGGGTGAGAAGGAGGTGGTGGACTGAGAAGAGGAAGGAGAAGAACTCTCTCTCTCTCATACGCCAGGTACTTACCTGTGAAGATGGCGCTGTGCTGCAGGTACCTCGAAGACGAAGCTGGAGCAACGGCGCTGCAGGTAAGTCCCTCTGGCCTCCGCCCAATCTCTCTCTCTCTAGTACTACTCTAGCTGCTATGGCGCCCAGCGCTGAAGACTACAGCTAACGCTACTAGCGCCCAGCGCTGAAGGCTACTGCTAACGCTGCTACTACTCCTGCAGCGCTCCTCCAGAGTGCTGCTGCCGAATCCTGAAGACTACCTCCTGCCTCTTGAACTGCACGTGAAGTGCCTGGGAAGTACCTAGGAACTACCTGCCTGCCTGTAGGCCGGGCCAGTCCTATATAGTGCTGGCCCGTCCAGGAGGCTGCTTTTGCCAATGCTGACACGTGCCAGACCCTGGCGTTGAAGCTCAACCAGGGGTTGTCTTGAAAACAGGCCCGAAATGGCCTGTGCTAAGACCCTGGTTTGTTGCCTGAGTTTCAGGGCAGGTCGAACTCATGAGGGCCCAGAAATGTCCCTCAGTTTCAGGCTAAAAACACTCAGGGCCGGAAAGGCCCTGATTTAGCCTGAAACGACACAGGGCCTGTAGGCCCTTGTTTTCAGGCTTTTGGCCTGAAAACGTCACGGGCCTGGGAATGGCCCGTGCAGCCTGTTGCAAGCGCAGCATCTGACACCTCACATCCTCCTACCACCGAAATCCTATCACTGATCTCTATCCAACTCGTACCAATAGTCTCCAGTTTGAAGAAGAAGAAGAAGAAGAAGAAGAAGAAGACCTGAGAGGGGCAGAGCATCGGTGGAGATGGCGAGTAGCCCTAGACCCTACCTGATGATACAAGGTGGCGCCTTGGCTGCTGTAGGAGACGTTTGTGCTGCTGGGAGCTATGGCGCTCGCGGCTGCTGTCAGATAAGTCTCCCTCCTCGCTCTCTCTCTCTCCACAGCCAGCGCTACACCTAGCTCTGCTGCCTAGCGCTGCACTGGAACAGAAATAACGCAGCGTCTTGCTCCTCAGTGCTGCCGCACTCCTCTCCCCGGAAATGGCTGTTGGCTGGGCCTAAATACTGGCTGGCGGCCAGTTCGGCCTCTGCCTCCCAAGGTGGCCTCCGATCTGAACTGTTGGACCTATCGTCCGATCCGTGGTTCAGGTCGGACCGGTTTTCGGGAAAACAGGCTGCTTAAACGGCGGCCTGGTCCAAACGAAAATGTTTGGCCATTTCCCGCCCAGGGCCTGCGGCCGCAGGGACTGGTCTAGGACCGGTTGAGCAAGGCCAAAGGGGCGGCCTAAAAAGGTCCGGCCGTTGGGCCGGCCTGGCCTGGATTATCGCGTCCAGGCCCTCGGAACCCCTCAGCCTAGTCGTCGGGCCTGAAACGGCCCGTGTGGAATGCAGTATGTAACATACCTGAAGATAGCTGCCTTCAACCATAGATTTCTCACCAATCGGAACGACGTGCATTTTGATGACCAGTCATAGCCTTGGTACCACCAACAACGCAATGCACTGCCACCTCGCCAAAATGCATGTCAGCATACTCTCATCATCCCATATACACCTGCTGTCGCCACAGCCTTCCTGCTAGCCTCCCCTCTACCCAGGAGTGGCAAAGCATGCCAGCGCGAATGTATCCTCACTGCGTAGAAGGTTCGTCAGCACACCAAGTAACAATGTCGTCAGCCCCGGTAACACCAATCTTGAACCAGCTCCGATACCAAATTGCAAGGAATATGATAGACAGAAATCCAAGTTGTAAAATCACGAAGAAGGTCAGATAGTCATGAACCAAGCAGAGAGTGGAATGCACCAAGATACCGTCCAAATAAGAGCAATACAATGAACTCAAATGTCAATGTCGCCACTCTCTGGTCACACCAACACTGTATCCAATGTCACACTTACTGTCTGGCGCCCAGCGCCCAGCCTATCATACTCAGCCTATCTAGCCTATCTAGCCTATCTACATTCTTGCAACTGGATCACTTTGGAGTCGAAGACCAATGTACGTGATGTCAACAGCAATGTCGGCCACCGGCATACACCAGGTAAGTTCTCTCTCCTCCCCTCATCACCCCTCGTCTTCCCACAGTATGCGCCTCCTACCCGAAGACCACCTTCGCCATCACTTGCCCTGCGCCCCAGCTGCCCGGCTATGGCTGCTGTGCGCCCGCTGCCTCAGCAGCACCCCTCTCACCTCTGCGCCCGTGCGCGCCTCCGACCAGCAGCACCCATGCAGACACTAGCATCGAAACACAGCAGCGTGTCCACATTGCCTGCCTAGGCCAGAATGCTACTGCCAGGGGCTCGCACTTTCCTTTATGGAAAGTGTGTCGCTGCTGGCTGTCCTGGCCAGGCATGTGGGGGCCCAGTAGCTTCAGTTGGGTCCCAAGTGTCTGCACCCAGGCCCAGTTTCCGTAACTGGTCTGGGCCTCGTGCAGTTAGGCACGTTCAGGCAGCCACCCAGCCTCCAAGTGCTTGCAGCATTCTCATTGGCTCGCGGCACATGTGTGACGACAACGCTGCTTCCTCATTGGCCCGTAACCAGTCCGTGATGTGTCGGCCTCACACAGTGTGTGCCCAGGGCGCAACCGCCTGAGCCCTGGGCTCAACTGTACAGCGCAGCCCCTTTGTTTTTAGAAAGAGCCTGGAGGCTCATGTTGTGCTGTAACCAACTGGCGTGCTGCAACTGTCTGAGTACCCGCATATGGAAAAATTGTCGAGAACAGGCCTCACGTGGATATTCAGGCCCGCCTTCACTTAGTGCGGGCACGAGTCCTGCTGGGGGCCTGTTGCATACTGTAACGTGCAGACCAGAACAAGAACCAACCTCTCAATACAAAGTA